GATAATAAATAAATGATCACTATAATTGATTCGAAGATCGCAGTGCCATTAAGGTTTAAATCCAAATGAATTCATTGACTGAATTTGAGATAAATTACACAAAATCCAAATGGATTTTCCTTTGAGAAATTTTATTTAAACCCATGTAACCTATCTTTACACCCAACTTACTCTTTGCACCCACTTGATTTTAAACTAAACTATTAATGTCTCTTTAAACCCAAGTTTATTACCTAATATACCCCTATAAATCCAATTCAATATGTGAATTTATTTTTACACCCATTTGATTGTTAACTCTATCTTTACGCCGTGTGGGAATGGACAGTGAGAATTAGGGTGTGAATTCAGACATGGTTGACAAATTTCCCCATCATAACCTCAAGGTAGTAGAAGTAGTAGGGTAGCGTGGTCGAAGAAATGTTGTTGAACAAGTCATGTATTTGATAGAGAATGTTGTAGGACTCGAGAAAATTGTTATTGATCCAGTCAAGCGGTGTGTTATTCATCTTACTGGAGTGAATGGAACACAGTATGTTGTGCAACACTTGCGTTTCTTTCCAGTTACACGTCCTGTTACAAACCTGGAGCTACGTTGCAACGTATAGTAATCAAGTTTTTATAAAGAAGGTAGTTGCGCTCAGCGAATATAATGATGCGGATGCTGCTGGTAGATTTTGTTTTTTGCCAAGAGCAGCATGTGTTTTGCATTTGGTTGAATCTTGTTCCCCAGTTCATTCAGGAATTGACACATAGGGCCCAAAGAATATGAAGTGAGAAATAATTACTGAGAATTTACAGACTGAAATTTATTGATTTGGAATAAATAATGCATAACTCTATGAAGATTGAAAACAACTAATGGAATATGTTCTGCTAACTCCACAAATGAAATCGTATGACAAAAGATGGCATACAAGTAACAGCAGCGCCACCTACAAAGTTACAATTTTTCTTCCATTTTTAACTACAGGCTTGATCCGTCAGAGAAAATATTTGCAATATTTGCAAGTCTTTTTGGGTACAAATGGACAGTGGGAGAGAGACTGCAGCAATTTGCTGTTACATAAAGATAAACAAACTATGTGGGATTGATTGAAAAAAAAAAAAATTAAAATCAAAATACACATTTTCTAAACTCTAAAAAAGTTGAAATCAAACGAACAAAAAATTCATAAATTGAGTTATACCTTGGTTGGAGGATTCAAAACTTCAAAATCATCATCCATCAATAAAAAAAATTTGTTTTTCTCTATGAGAACTATTAGGGTTTTAGCCGGAATGAATGTAAGATAAACAAAAAGTGATCGTATGGTTTAATTATAGTGTTTGGGTTTATTGATAAATTTGAGTTTTATTATTAATTTCATTTTATACTTAATAGTAATTATGCAGTAGGGTAAAATAGACAATTAACATTTAAAATTTAAATTAGATATAAAAATAAGTTACATGAGTTTAAATAAAATTTCAGTTTTCCTTTTCAACTGACCAACTATTTCCTTTCCTTTGAAATAAAAAATTATTTCCTAATATTTATATTTAACAAAACATGAAATGTCAATTTTCCCAAAAAGAAAAACATGAAATGTCAAAAAAAAGGAGAAAACGTTTCTGTATTGAATTTGCATGAGCAAATTTGGGCCCCACCGCCAAGCATATAAAGAAGAGAGAAAAAAAATCTGGCACTGCAGACTGTAACTGAAATTGCAGATGTTACCATTTGGAGGCTGGAGAATGGTGACCCAAATACCGAGAAATTTTTAATTGTGACGGAAAGATGGATGATACATTACGTGTTTTTATGTAAATAATGAAAAATTATATTTTTTTTAAGTTATTAACTTCTTGACATATATATTCCATCATTTATGTAATGATACGTAATGTGTCATCCTGTGTGACAATCACACCTAAAAATCTCTTGTAAACACCTACTTGTCTTCTCCAAAGGTTGTCATGGCTCTGAATTTCATGGGTTAAAAGTGTAATCTGCTTAGACTTCTGCCCCCAAACAGTATAGTGAACAGAAACTAACAGATGATTTTCGAAATTGTTATGAAAATTAAAATTTTAAATTAAATGATATATCATTAATAAAAATAAGCATATTAATCAATTAATCGATATCTAAATAATAATTTAATCATCAAAAATCATATTTTTTTGATTTGGAAATTTAGTTCAAAAAATTTAACCTTTCTAACATTATCCTTTGAAAATATCAAATATATATATAAACTATCAATTTAGCATAAAACAATATAAAATAGTAGCTCTCACTACATTTTCATACCACATTTATACTACATCTCTAATAGAGATGAGGGTGACATGTCTTGAAGGAGCCTACATATGTTAAAGGGATAATACAAATATGATAAATGTAGCATTACTTAAACATTATATTAGAACTGCCTTATTAATAGATAAATTGGAAGATTGGGGAAAAAATTCTTCTTGTACATGTCTTCAAGAAAATACAAATGTGATAATGAAATGTATTTTTTTAGTAACACTGACTCTAATGAGCACAAGACGTAATTTTAGAATCAAACCATTGTATAAAATGTACTAATAATAACGAGTTAATATGTATTTTTGTATGCATGTGAGCGACCAATGTTTTTGGTAGCTTATTAATCATGCATCTGTCCTTAAGCAAACAACATACCTCCTAGTTAGAGAACTATGTACATGATAATAATTGTAGCAAATAGTTACCGTAAATATATGTTCCACCCAACTTCATCAACGATCCATAGTATATTTTTTGGAGAAATTAGGTTCTCGTCTTTCTTTTTGCTATTCCATTGATTAAAATTCTATTCTTTCTCAATTTTTGATCAAGGTCCTTGGTTGTTAATAACATCATTAATTATTTCAATAATAATTATTTTTATTTCTAAATATATTCATTTAATGTTAAAAATGTTACAATTAGTATATTTATATTTATGACTAAATTTTTCATCATATATTTTTAATTTAGTTTGTACCCATTTTAAATTTGTAATTCTTTTTTAATTTGTACCAATTTTCTTTTCAATTTTAATTTGTACCCATATATTAAATTCTTTTTGTGCCCATATTTTTTAAAGTTTATTTGTATTTGAACCCTTTTTTTTATGCACTTTTTATTTTTGCTAAATGTACCCATGCTCCCATGCTAATTATATGTACCTATTCATGTAAAACTTTTTATTTTGTTATATGTAAAATGTACCATTTTTTTTATATAATCTATTCAATTTTTTTTAATCCATTTTTAAACTTAATGGGTACATTATGTTGAATGTACCCATGTTTATATATATAAACACACACAATAGTATTTTTATATTTTTAATCCCACAAACTATGGTTTTTCATTTAAAATCTCATTTATATAAACAATTAAAATTTCTAATTTTTAATTAAAAAAATATAGTAATGTACATAGAAATAAATTATCAAATTGATTTCAGGAACCTCAATCAAAAATTAAAAACCAACAAGGTTTTAATCAAAGAATATTCATAGCTAAGGACCGCATCCAAAGTCTTCCATATTTTTTTTTCCCAAAATTTAATTTAATACCTAACAAAATGTTTATATCTTTAGCAAGCGTGTTGAAGATCCACTCCAGAAACATCAAAACTCATCCATGATTATCACCATTTCTAGTAACAAATAAAGCCACCGAGTGAGCTGCTAGGTTGCATTGTCGTGGCGCATACGAGAACATATTGAATCAAAATGCTTATCCACCTGAAAGAAATTATGAATGATCTCATCAGTGGATGCATCCACCTCTAGGTCCGGCAACATCCGGACCAGATTAATAGCATAAAATTCCATAATCAACTTTGAATACCCTTCTGCACTACAAAAAAAACAACCGCTTCCACTTCAACAACCAAAATAGTCATGGCCAGGAACCCGCCTCGACTGCCTCCCTTGATATACCACCACCCTGCGATGTAGCGGACCACCAACCAGCCCTTACCACTAACGTATCAGAGGACCAAGCTCCATTACAATTAACTTTTATAGTTCCATATATAGTTGGTTATTTCCACTATTGTGCCGCCTTACTGACTTGAATTTGAGTTGCATAGCTCGTCTCTCTGGCCTATTGCAGTGGCGATGTACTTAAGTCAATGGGGTGGGACAATCTTGGTCCTTGGTGGGAGGGTTGGTTGGGAGATGCGCAACAACGCAGGATGATAACAGATGAGGAAACATATTTTGTGGCATAATTCGATGGTTTAAGAAAGGATTGTGTGGTAGAAGTAATTTTTTGTACGTTTACACTGGGAATTCATCTAGACCACGCGTGGCTTGAAAAAGATATCATGAAGCCTCAAATTAATGCAAAAAAACCATGTCTGTACTAATTGCAACTCAGCCAAATTATTATAGTTCTAATAACCCTAAGTGTGTGTTTAATTAGAGACTTTAAATTTCACGGAGCTCAGGCTAATTTTCTTAGGAAGGTACGACAAAATCGCTGCAAAACATATGAGAAACCTTTCAAATGACACATTTGAAAGTTAAGGTGTATCATTTTGAAAGTCCATCTGTTAATTTAGTGTCCTTCTAGTGCATTTATAGTGTTTTAGTATTAAAATAGTTTCTTTATATAGTGTTCTTGTAGCACTTTTTAGGCGGCACCAAACTATTTTTGCAAATTAATGGGCATCTCAAGAAATGAAGTCTGGCATTATTTAACAACAATTTTTTTTCATGAAAAGGGTAGATGTTAAACTAGAAAAACAACCATTAATATATTGATGCTTAGAGCATTATATATAGTTCAGAAATCATAACACTAAAACAAGAGAGCAAGCCATTAAGATCTAGCTAGCTAGCTCCAAACTGTAACTTACAAAACCTTCTAATAATCCCACAATTACATGACTCAAACTCATTATTCCCATACATTATTCATCCATAAACCAGATCTAAGCACCTTGGTATATATAGAGACTCCGCATCAGCTCTTCAAAATCCAAGCCCTAGAGTTTGAGCTCCAAATCCAAATCATCATCCCTTTGCTCGGAAGTCATTTCCTCACCATCATGACCAACCCTAAAAATTGGGTCAGTCACAGTCCTTTCAGAAGACCTCACCGACCCTGCAGCTGCACCATTCCAACAATTAGTAGCATTATTATTTTCCCACTCAGCAAGATAATCTCTTGTATAGTTAATAACACCCTCTTGGGCCTCCTTCAGTTGATTATCCACTTCTGACCTAATCATTCCAAAAGCAACCTCATGAAAATGATAAGCACCAATGCTTGAAGCTGCAAGCAGGTTAACAGTATGCTGGACTATCCCATGATAACCCCATCCGGCTACATTCACCTCCAGAGGCATCTGGTAGGCAGCGAAAGCAGCCGACTGGACCTCCACCAGGGCAGCAGCAACATAGGGGTTACTTCCGTGGGTTCCAATGGCATCTGCGAGTCTCCTCATGTTATTTTCGTACCGGTGGGCGTTTTGGTGACCACCCAAGGCCTGACCAGAGGAGAAACCTTTCTCACAACGGGTGCACTTGAAGAGATCTTTTTCGCCACAGTTGGCCGTGCTGTCTTCAGAGTTGGTGGCACTGTTTGACATGGTGATTGGTTTGGACGATGAAAACAAGGTAAACTGAGAGAGAGAGAGAGAGAGAGAGAGAGAGAGAGAGAGAGAGAGAGAGAGAGCTGTGTTGGAGGAAATAGTGCTTAGAGGGGTTTATAAAGGAGTGAAAACCGGACTTGAAGTTGGATTCAATTAAAGTTTTATGTATGAACTTAAATGCAGTGAGATTCTGTAAGTGAGGGACAGATATCGTCTTGTGAGAGCTTTATGTATCTGCACTTAGGATTTGTGCGACTTGGACACAGCCTAAGAAAACTTTCAAGAAAAAGCTGAACTGGATAAGCACATAGTTGAGAGATTTTTTCAAGAACACGGTATGTTATTATACAAGTGTAGAGAATTGTTTTTTCAATGTCCTTCTACTTGTATAATGACTTATGACATATATATCTATGTTCCAAGCACACTGAAAAATCTCTCTACATATGTTTACATTACATGAAAAAACAAAAATCCTGTCTATTAATATCATGGACTTTCACATAACTTTATTTAGATTTTTTTTCATTTTGTGAAGAAATTAAAACAACCAAGTTAGCCAAAGAATCATAGAGGACACTATTAACATTACCATAAAGAGGTAAAAACATTATACGAGTATAGCTAGTAAGCATGCACTAATATAGTGAGATTGAATTTGACCGATTAATCTTCATATATGAATATCGTGGACGTGCTTGCTAGATTGAAACATATATAGTGAAATTTAATTTTACCTAATAATCTTCAGATTTAGCAAGTTGTGGATTGTTCTGGTGGATAAGGCTTTACTCTTCACTCACTGTATCATGAGTTCAAATCTTGCCCTTATAGTAGTAATATCGCTTCTAATAATTAAAAAAAATCATTAGATATAAATATAATTTTTGGAGCATTAATTATTTTGTCGGTTGTGCCTTTACGTTCGACGCTAATATACTTTATCCAAAATGTTTAGAGAATCAACTATTTTGTCGGTGCGCTGTCGCATTTCATTTGACATACATATGCACCCGAAAATTTTGGAGCATTAATTTATTTATCCAATGCATTGTCTCCTAGATTCTGACAGTAATATACTACGTATCTTAATAATCATACACTTCTACATAATAAGTTATTTTGTCGATGCATTGAGCGTTGTCGCATTTCACCTGACACATATATGCACCCGAAATTTATGGTGCATTAATTTATTTATTTAGTTTGTCTCCTAGATTTCGACAGTAATATACTACGTATCTTACACTTTTACAGAATAAGTCATTTTGTCGATGCACTAACACATTGTCTCAATGCATTGTCTATTGAAGACAAGTGTCTCTTGATCATTGGTAATCAGATAATCACTGCCACGTTAATTAGCCAAAATTATTAGAATATTGTTAAGCTATTAAGTGATTTGTTAGAGGGTTAATTAGTTACAAGTAAGCTTGTACTGTGTTCAATATATTAGAAATTACAACGCATAAATGTAATTAGTTAGTGATTTTCTCAGTTAATACAAAAGTCTTATTTCTCTCTTTAAATTCTCTCTCTAGTTCTTTATCTTTCTCAATGTTCATCTTCTCTTGAGAAATTTTGATAATTAGCCATATTTTATTACCACAAAATAATTTTTAGCCCACCGTTTACAATTCTTACAAATTTAACCAAAAATGCATACAAAAGTTCTAAATTGCCCCTCCATTCACCCTTGTCTCTTCTTCCCCCTCTCTCCGACTCCCACCACCCCACCCCACAGTCCCCACCCCACGCCACCCCACCTGTATCTTCTCCAAATCCACCACCACAGCCGCGCCCACTGTGACCGACATGCCACCATATCTCGCTCTCTTCGTACAATAGAAGATTTCCAAAAATGCATCTAAAACTGCAACGCTTCCTGCAGGTACTTTTTCATGTCATCGTTTTCTATGATATGTGGAATAATAAGAATCATGGGTTGTTCAAATTTGCTTGCATTAAAGCATTTCTGCACATTTTGAGTGCTCATTTTTTGTAAACCATTTCCTTTTTTTTTACTTCATAATTTCTTCAATTAGAAAAGTAGTCATATTTCTGCATATTCTACTATTATAATGCTACTTCTCAGTTGCATGTCATAATTTTTACTTACTGCATTGGACATTAATTTCTGGTTGCGAAGCCGATGAAGTCCCAGTTGCATGTTATTGGTGCACACAAGAGCTTGCTAATTAAGGAAGTAATTCAGAAGTTGTTGAGAAACAACTAGTTGTTTGCATAGTATTGTAACCGTGTAACATCGACTTTTTTTTTTTTTTTTGGTCTGTAGGAAACTTTCAGATCTCAGGTATGCCACATATATTTCTTCACATTAGTTTTGAGTGCCTAACTAGAGAAGAGATAGGTTGGGGTGGGGCTGTGGTGGATTGGTGAAGGGGGCAATTTAGAAAATTTACATGAAAATTTGGTTAAATTTATAAGAATTGTAAAATGTAGGCTAATCTTGAAAATGTTAGAAATCAAGATCAACGTCAATCAAAGCTTGATTTGTGGATCAAATATTAGAGAATAAATCAAATTGTAATCACTGTAATTAGGTCCTAAAGTTTAGCTATTTGTCTGCTAGTTTACTTCTTTTAGACTAAATGTATTCCTATATAAGTATTGTAAACAAGTTGTACAGATACATAGAAATATACAAGAAAGCCATTTCTTCATCATCAAATTCTTTATGGTACAAGAGCACCTCCCTGGTGCCTAATATTGCTCCTTTTTGCTTCCGCCAATATCATCGACCACCATGTCTGAAACTCCAACAAAGAAGTCAACCACCATCACCTCACCTATAGAGGTTATGGATTTCAATGATCCCTATTATATTCACCACTCAGATCACACTGAGCACTCTCTTGTCACTCAACTCTTGGAGGGTGACAACTACGCGAAATGGAGTCATGCCATGGTGATTTCTCTTAAGGCCAAGAACAAACTCGGCTTTGTTGACAGCTCAATCAAAGCGCTGTCAGAGGATGATCCCAAATATGGAGCTTGGAGAAGATGCAATCAGATCGTGAAATCATGGATCCTCAACCCAGTTAACCCAACCATGACCAATACTGTGATCTTTTCCAATATAGCCACTGAGGTCTGGTCAAACCTTTAAGATCGGTTCTCACAAGGTAATCTTTCCCGTATTTTCAAACTCAAACAAAGGATTGTTGAACATCGTCAACAACAACAGTCCATAGCAGCTTACTACAACACTTCAGTCCTTTTAGGACGAACTGGGATCGTACAATCCTCCACCTTCATGTAATTGTGAAGGGTTGAAGAAGATTGCTGAAAGGGAAGAGCAGGAGCAAATCCTCCAGTTCCTCATGGGATTGAATGACACATATTCTGCTATTCGTGGACAAATCCTTTTGATGTGGCCACTTCTGAATATCAGAAAAATCTGCTCACTTCTACTCCAAGAAGAAAAACAAGGGCAACTTGCCAATGCTCGTGACGTATCTATTCATGCCATGAACGTGACGAAAGGCACAAAGAACACAGGAAATAAGCAGCCGGCAAAATCACAAGACAATAAAGGGAAATCCTTTCTTTGCACATACTATGAAGATGATGCACACACAGTTGATCGCTGTTTCTACATTATCAGCTTTCCACTAGGGCACAAGTTCCATGGCAAGGCAGTCAAGCCACCAAACAAGAACAAGCATACCACAACCAACAATGTTCACGATGCCAAACCCGCCACTACAGAAAATACACATCAAAACTTTCCACACTTCACAGAGGAGAAGTACAATCAAACAAGCATACCACAACCAACAATGTTCACGATGCCAAACCTGCCACTGCAGAAAATACACATCAAAACTTTCCACACTTCACAGAGGAGAAGTACAATCAAATAAGGGCTTTACTCAGTAAAAATCAGTTTTGTGGAAACGTGACAGGTAAACCTAATACTGAAGACTATTCAGCCTGGATTATTGATAGTAGTACTAGTGATCATATATCCTCTTCATCTCATCTTTTAAATCAAACACCTTACCATGATACTGTTGGTTTACCTAATGGCTCACATATAGATATCCTAGATGTTGGATTAGTACAACTTAAACCAAATTTATTCATAAAAAATGTCCTTCATGTATCTTGCTTTCGGGTCAACTTACTCTCAGGTCAGTAAAATTACTCGTGACTTACATTGTATCTTCATTTTCCATCCTATTTTTTGTATATTACAAAACCTGAAAATGACGAAGTTGATTGGCCTGGGGAAGGAGCATAACGGTCTCTATTATCTGTCCAAACACACATCCATTAAGCCACCACCAGAAATCTGAACCAACGCTGTCTTCACCACTCCAAATTTTTGGCACTACTGCCTAAGACATCCCTCTGTTGCACCATTACAATTTTATCTAGAACAATTCCCAATGTTTCCTTTCATCCTAATAAGCATTGTGAAATTTGCCCGATGGCAAAACAAACTCGTTTACCTTTCAATTTAAGTTCAATTTCAACACATGCGCCTTTTGAACTCATACATTGTGACATTTGGGGTCCCCATCGCACTCATTCACATTTCGGTGCCCGTTATTTTTTAACTATTGTGGATGATTTCTCTCGCTACACTTGGGTGCATCTTATGGCCTTTAAATCTGAAACATAAACTACTAAAATCCTTTGTAGCGTTTGTTAAAACACAATTCCAATGCAACATTAAACAAGTCAAGGTAGACAATGGGAGTGAGTTTCTTTCAATGTGTCCTTTTTTTAATGATTTGGGAATTCTTTTTCAACATTCTTGCCCAGCAACACCACAACAAAATGAAGTCGTCGAGTGTAAACATTGTCATCGCTTAAATGTTGCTCGTGCTCTACGATTCCAATCTCACTTACCACTTACCTTTTGGGGGGAAAGCTTCTTTTTGTTGCTTATATAATAAATATATTACCCATACTTGTCCTCTCCAAAAGCACACCACATGAAAAGCTCTATAACACCACACCCCATT